TTTGCTATCAGTGCCTTCAGATGCATGAAGGTTTTTTCTTAGCGTTCGAGTTTTTATCATATGGAGCAAACTATTAGAAAATTATTAAGAACATTCTATTTCTTCTCTCTAGTAAGACTTGCAAGAATGTTTACATAGTGACGGCCGCTGTATGATAGCGAGATATCCAGTGATTTTCTTGATTACATAACATGAGACCATGAGCAGTATGCTGCCAGCAGCTGATAATTTACACTCTGATTCGCCTTCGCTGCAAGGATCACGTTACTCTAAACGCTACACGCAACGTTGGTGATAACGCTGCTGCTGGCTCACCTTTCCTTAAACGCTAGTACGCTACCCGCAGCGTTAACTACAACGCTGGCGTATCATCACCTCTCCCTGAACGCTACACCCAACGCTAACGACAACAATAGTGCAGCATCACCTCTCCCTGAACGCTACACGCAGCGTTAGCGACAACCCTAGTGCAGCATCACCTCTCCCTGAACGCTACACACAACGCTAACGACAACCCTAGTGCAGCATCACCTCTCCCTGAACGCTACACGCAACGCTAACTACAACCCTAGTGCAGCACCACCTCTCCTTGAACGCTACACCCAACGCTAACGACAACCCTAGTGCAGCATCACCTCTCCCTGAACGCTACTCGCAACGCTAACGACAACCCTAGTGCAGCATCACCTCTCCCTGAACGCTACACGCAGCGTTAGCGACAACGTTGCTCACCTCTCACTGAAGATGTGTTTTATGTGGTGCTATCAGGGTGGGTTCTGGTGAAGGCAGTGGTGTTGTAATGGGTGCCGTGCTTTGGTCCTTCCTTATTTGGAAGACGGAACACAAAGGCTGGGTTGACTAGGATGCAGCCGAGACGCTGAAGCCTGCAATGGCCCGGCGCAACTACCTCGTAAGCTGCGAGTGTGGGCAATTGATGCTGGCTATTGGTGTCGTATGTCTGACTGCTTGGCAGATGAACGAAGACTGCTTAGTGGAAGAGAGAGAATATAGACAGGGGTTGGACAAAATAAGGGGGACACCTGACATTTTGATTTCGTAATTTTTGAACGTGTTATGAACAATGAAAACGTGACATATTTTTATATGTTATAGTTTATTGTTGCTACCAATTAATATTTTATCCTTGCACTGATCTTTTTAGAAAATTATTGTGTGTGTCACCTAACTTATAACCTATAAATGGCAAACCTCTCTGACTTTCAAAGAGGCCAAATTGTTAGTGCGCGTACGGCAGGTGCTAGTGTGACAGAAACTCCTCGAATGCTTGACGTTTATAGAGGTACTGTCTCAAAAGTAATGACTGCTTTTGAAAGAAAATGAAGACGTCCTCAGAAAAGCACAGGTCTGACCGAAACTCGAAGTTGTCTGAGAGAGACCGTTGGTACCTAAATCGAATTGTGAGGGACAATCGAAAGACCACGGCTGTTAAAATTACTGCAGACGTCAAAGGACACCTACAGAACCGAGTTTCCATAAAGACTGTCCACCGAGAGCTGCACAGATCTGGATTCTATGGAAAAGCTGCAATTAGAAAAAGTACTAATGCAAAGCGTTTAGAGCTGTGTAAAAACTATCAGAATTTGTTTTTCGAGTAATGGGAAAATGTGATTTCCTCTGACGAATCACTGTTTGCATTGTTTCCAGCCTCTGGCCGAATTTACGTTTAGTAGCAGCCAAAAGTCATTTAATCAAAACTGCCTCCTCCCAACCGTGAAGCATTGTGAGGGATCTGTGATGATCTGGGGTGCTATTTCTTGGAAATCCGACGGACCAATAATTTATCTCCAAGGGAAAATCAACAGCCGTGACTATTTAGGAATTTTGGGGCACTGAGGTCATCCAATGGTTCAATCACTGTTTCCGGAAGGGAACGCCATCTTTCAAAATGAAAATGTCCCGACCCACACAGCTGGAATTGTTGAATGGATTATTAACATTCTAATTGTTAACATTCTAATGAAGTTGAGCATCTCATTGTGCCACCACAATCACCAGACCTGAATATTTTCGAACATTTATGGTCGATTTTGAGATGCAAGTCATAAGTCGATTCCCGCCGCCATCGTCTTTAAAAGAGCTGGAGGGGATTTCAACTGATATGGGTAAAAGCTCCGTTGGAAACACCGACATCCGGTCAATATATCTTAAATAACGTCAATCAGCTGATAAATACATGTTTCGTCCCCAGCTGGAGGGGATTTTAACTGATGAATGGGTTAAAACTCATTTGGAAACAATTCATAATTTGTATGAATACCTCGGAGATTGGAGGCTATAATTGCCGCAAAAGGTGGACAACACCATACTAACATATATTTTGTGGATTTCTCATGTGTTTCCCTTATTTTGCCTAACCCCCGCATGTGACTACTATACTATGCAACAGCTAGTACAATTTATATTTGAGTGACATCGAAAGCCATGGCTCTGGTTCCTTGCGGTTAAAAATCCGTGCTTGCACGCTTCTTAACTTTAACGAATCACTCAGTGTCACTAATTCGGATGCACACAAAAAAAGGTGAATGCACAAAATATCTTACTTTACTTCAAGAGCAGCGAGATTGTAAGAATCTTGATGTCTTCTCGTGTAACATGGAGCACGAGTGATGAGTTGTCGGCTTCACACTCTCGCATAAACAGCCGCAGGAAAAACTAGGTTCGTGCTCAACGGCGCGAATAATCTTGATTCGCAATGAACTTTGTTAGCGTTTTTTATTCAACATATACAATTCGTGCTCATACTTTTCTATAATACGCGAATAAAGGTTTAGAAAATTCTTATTCATTGTTAAAAATTATTTTTATTAGTATAATTTTAATTACAATTATTAAAAATATAACTTGCATAACAACAAACGTCTTTTTATGCTTCGGGCTATTTCTCTCTGCTCGGCTCCTATCACCGCAAGTAATCTCCCAAACAATATCCCCTCAGGTTTTTTAGGCATACTTAATTACTGTCAACAAAGTGCACTGAAAATCTCGCCTTCAAGAACGTGGTATGTGTATGGAAGAGGGTGAAGCAGCATCAGCATGCAGCTTCACGCTCACATCGGGGCTCCCGCGGCGAGTGTGGGGCGGGGCGGTTGTTGTGCGATACGGTTCTCTGTAGCCATGCTCCACTCACAGAGAACAATTATCAAAATTACCCAGGATGTGTAACGTATAGCAGAAGAAGGCTAGAAAATCTAAGTCCTGTAATGAGTAGTATAAGGGAATATTTGTTAGCACTCGAAGCCGATTCCGACTGAAGTAATTTTATCACGTCTTGGAACGTATTTTTAAGCTCATTATAATACATTATTAAGTACTTCGTAGCTTTCAGATATAGATTCGTACAGAAATTCAAAGCATCACCCGTCTATCAGATACGATGATGTGTACGAATGTTGCTTGTTCAAATATTTTATGGATTTTGAGCTGTTTTCTTTTCATTCCGGTTTTTATAGGTTGGCCTAACTAAATATTTTTTCATAGCAATCATGAGTGTTTGTTCTTTAATAATATATTAATATATTATAACTAGCATATTCTTCGCCACATTATGTCTTCCATGGGCTTAGATATTTTAAATCATGATGGTAACGGTGAGCAGCAGTGCCACAAGTATACCAGGAAACACTAACAAGTCGAAACACTAACACCACAACTCAGCCAATGATGCATAAACATGGGTCACTCGTAAGCTTGGGTCAGGTAGATTTCGCACTCAACAAGATTTATGAGAGAAACAACGGCAAAACACAAGTCAATCACTCCCATGTTTTGGAAAGACTTCTCACTGTTAGGTTCATGTTTTGCACTCTCCTCAGTAACTCGAGTAACTCGTTAACACTCAAGAGTCCACTCACTGTAAATATGTACCGCTGCGAGGCTTCCGTCGTGAGTTATGAGTGACGTCTCAAATTTCGTCAGACAGAGACTGCTAGCGAGTAAACAGCAGACAATTTTATATAGTTTTGCCGATTTAATCACTTTCTCATATGTACAGTTTAAAATATGTTAAATATAAATTTTAATTCGAAGTACGCAAACTATGTCATTTTCTATAACATAATGAGTTTCTCGAAAGCAAGGAAGAGCATATTGTATCGTGCATTCAAATAAATAATTTGCGTTTAAAAATTACTTTTTAAAGACAACACTTCTGAACAATCCAGTGTCTTGGATGTTACACATGTACAATGAATTTCTAGTTTTATTTTCAAATATTTAAAAGAAAAATTATTTTTCAAAATTTTTTAGGATATCAAAATTTTGTAAATTTTCAAAATTCTTTATTCTGTCAATTGATTCATGCATTGTCTCTGACTTTGCAATTGTGCAAAATTTCAGATCAATTGGACATTTCAAATTGTGTCATATATGGATTATAAGATTTGTAGCAGACGAAATTATTTCTTAATTTTTTTGATAATGAAAAAAATTTTTTAATTTATAAAATTATCTATTCTGTCAATTGAATCATGCATTGTCTCCAACTTTACGCAAGTGTGCCAAATTTCAGATCGATTGGACAGGTAGAAGTGTGTTAAATATCGATTATAAGATTTGTAGCAGACAGACAGACAGACAGACAGACANCAGACAGACAGACAGACAGATAGAAGTGTGTTAAATATCGATTATAAGATTTGTAGCAGACAGACAGACAGACAGACAGACAGACAGACAGACAGACAGACAGACAGACAAACAAACAAGAAGTGAAGTTAAAGAGAAGTCTTGTAGAAGGGCATCAGTTTTCCTCCTCTCTCCGGTTTTACGAAATACATTATTACGATGCCAATTAATATGTACAAAATGTTATAATTTTTCCATTCCAAAAGGATGTTCTGCCTCATTGCCTCTGATAATAAATTTCGACAAAAAAAAAAACAAATATTTTTTCACTTTATATCTTTTTCTCTCATTGATTATATTATTATGTGCTTATACACATCGCTCGCATGAGTTTACTTATAGAGTCCTGGCCTTTATTTAAGTATGAATAATGTGCATGAGCTATTCCAAGTTGATCACGGAACGAATCTCGCTGTTTGATGCCTTATATCATCTTCAGACCGATTGAAATTGATTGTTCTCTGCAATAAATGAAAAAAGCGTTGTTTCATTTCCAATTAACTCCAAGCCAAATTCATCTTTGTTTCCAGGAACTAAACTTAGCCATATTTGTTAACAATATTTGAGCATTTGTCTGCGTAAGGCGTGTTGTTGGTCCTAGCTAGCAGCCCGGTGTAGGCATGACGGGACGTCGTGATGTGGCCGGGGTTGTGGCGGGCGGTCTGGCGGTGTTGGTGCTGGCGTCCACACTCGCCACGCTCTTCTCGGTGGTCCTCCCCAGCAGCGTCGTGTCTCCTGGTGAGTTATATGCTGCCTAGGAGATCGATTTTATAGTCCGGGATTAATTTTATAGTCCGGGATTAATTTTATAGTCCGGGATTAATTTTATAGTCCGGGATTAATTTTATAGTACGGGATTAATTATATACTCCGGGATTAATTTTATTGTCCGAGATTAATTTTATAGTCCGGGGTTAATTTTATAGTCCGGGATTAGTTTTATAGCCCGGGGGTAATTTATAGTCCGGGATTAATTTTATAGTCTGGGATTAATTTTATAGTCCGGGATTAATTTTATAGTCCGGGATTAATTTTATAGTCCGGGATTAATTTTATAGTTCGGGATTAATTTTATAGTCCGGGATCAATTTTATATTCCGGGATTAATTTTATATTCTGGGATTAATTTTATAGTCCGGGATTAATTTTATAGTCCGGGAGTAATTTTACAGTTCGGGATTAATTTTACAGTCCGGGATTTAAAGTGTCAGCAATTCACTGAATATTGTTTCCATTTATGCCATGGGATACTGAAATACTCCTACTACGAAAGTTCGTTAGTCTATTTTTCTTGTGATTTAGTAATGAAATTTAATTATGACTCTTGTAACAAGAAATATACATACAAGTGCATTAACATGTACTTCACTGACAGGTAATTTAATCCAGACTTATGGTCATGCTTTTGTTCACGAAAAATTTCAGGCACGAGCTGCATGCGCAAGTGCGAGGAACGCGATTCCAGAATCTGCAGCTTCACCTTTGCTGTTCATAATTACCAGACACTCTCCCGGTCAGTGCTTCTTCATTTCTATGAATTATAGCTGTATTTATCCGTTAACTATGGCTCTACTCAGGAAGTTTGGTGTTTCATTTACTGAAATCGGCGTGGTACAAATATTCGTTCATTTCATCGAAGTCATTAGGACATGTAGATCAACGAGAAAATGAGCGTCACTCTATACATGCTCCCTGCATGAAGATTTACCTTAAAGTATCGAGTAAGCTTATTCGCGTCGTATTCAGTGAATCAAAAGAAGGTAAAAATTAATTTAGCGCACTCATTGTCATCAAAATCATCATCACAAGTTACGGTGCTTACAAGCTAACACAATTCCAAGTGAGACATTTTTTGTACGAAGTTCGTGTTGGCGTCGGACCACATCAAACAAAATAAATAACGAAAGCTTTACGTGTATAGACTGTAGACAAGGCATAGCTCATTTTTGGTGTTGAAAGTGGAACTTTTATGATCAGCAATTGTTTATTATGTGCAATTATGACGCCATTTCTGTGGATGCCTCAACACCATGAGCTGATTGTTAATTAGGCAGAACGCAATAGTGGCTCCCAAAACGAGTACTTTTATTATTGTCACTATATAGATTGCTCGAATTACAGATTTACCAGGGATTTATAAGCAAAAAATGTGCAGCAAAAGTTTATCTCATCTTCTACAAAGATATTGTAAATTTCGTGACATATTCTTTGTGCATAAATACCGTATATCCTACAAATTCGTGAATGCTTTCATCAATTTTGTGAAAATTTGCAATCCGAGAAATATTGAAGCCGCAGCTGACAAAATCCATTTTGCATGATGTCCACAGAGCTTGTGCTGAGTGCCCGAGCAACAGAACACAGTGTGGACAACCACACTGCGTTCCTGCTAATGGCGTCCGAAGACTCATCACTGTAGTGAACCACCAGCTCCCTGGTCCTGGTATCCACGTGAGTATAATTGTAGAGGCGGGGTGAAATCTGCCAAGCCTGCAGGGCAGCTGGGCACCTAACCTAACCTAACCTAACCGTAAGAATACTTGCAGTATCACAAGGAATTTAGAAGCAAAGAAAACACCAAGCAAATTCACCATATCGATATTGAAGTATGAAATCGATATGGTGAATTTGCTTGGTGTTTTTCTTTGCTTTTAAATTCCTTGTGAACTTGCGATATAAGCAGACTGATAATATAAGTACCTGCAGTATGAGCAGCTGCCGTAAGTGAGGTCTGACAACCGTATTTGGAGAGGCCAATTGTGTCATGTATTGATCGACAATTTTATTGGACGTGCATCATATGTGAATCATATTCACGGGACTGTAGGTTTGTTAGAAAGTTATGGATTGAATGAAAAATGAAATATTAATAAAAGAGAAGTTAGGAAATTTAATAACTGTTCCAGTGAAATCATTCTCTCTTATGCTGACTTGGGTTTGTCCGAACCTTAGGTGTGCGAGGGCGACGAGATAAGAGTGGAGGTTGTTAACGAGTTGCCGTCTGAGGGCGTGTCTCTGCACTGGCATGGGCTGAACCCTTCCCCTTACATGGACGGCGTGCCCGGCGTGACCCAACATCATGTCGCCCCCCACCAGAAGTTCGAGTACTCAATCACTGCCGACCGCCCCGGCACTCATTTCTGGCACTCGCTGTCCGGTAAGTGGTGGTGACACGAGTAACGATGCCACTCATTTCTGGCGCTCACTGTCCGGTAAGTCGTGGTGACACGAGTAACGATGCCACTCATTTCTGGCACTCGCTGTCCGGTAAGTCGGGACGGCATGAGTAACAATGCCGCTCATTCTTTCGTACGCATAGCAATTGTGGTGCATGACTCAGGTTAATATATCTGTTGTATTAGTGCTTATAGTAAATTTCTTTGAACAGTGAGTCTAACTGGCTATGTGCCCAGAAATTGAATGTTTTTTCCGATGGGTTTTGGACGTATACGCTCGGAGGAATACAGTTACATGAGTATCAACGTTTTCTGAGCATTATCGTGGAAACTAAAGAAAAATATTGCTTCTCAAATCGAAAATCCGTTGAATTTGATGAGGTATTTTCGTCCCTGCGTATCTGTTAAGAATGACAGGACTTTGGTGCAGGTTTCCAGTCTGGCGACGGAGTGTTCGGGCCGCTGGTGGTGCGGCGACCACGATCTTTGGAGCCTCACGTCGAACTTTACGACCATGACTTGCCGGAACACGTCATCATGGTACGACCCTAACCTCGTATAGCACGAACACTGAGAGTTCTGTCTCAAGCTTGTGAAATTGCCTAAGAATTTCTTCGTTCAACTTCGGTTGTAGAAACTAGGCAAAGTATATCTTATAACCTAACTCAAAATTTCATTCATTTAATGAAATATGTTGAGAAATTCATTTGACCCAATTTTCTTCTTCTAACATTTTTTGCGAGTCAAAAATTTCAACGTAATACATCACAAAATTATGCTCCTCATATGTTCCACTCTCTACCTCATAGTCATGGCATTCTTCTTGATACAGAGCACTTGTGTATTATTCATGAATGGTTTACAAGGTACTTGTGTACATGTAGGTGCACGACTGGATGCTTCTACCAACCCTGGAGAAGTTCACCCTGCACCATCACAGCGGGGCCGACCACTACCCTGACGACCTACTGGTCAATGGTAGAGGAAGATTTGAGGTATGGAGGCTCAGGTAGCTTATCATCCTTCAGTAGATAAGAAATGAACATTTTACACATGTATTATGTTTCGGGTTATTTTACAGAAGTTATTTTTCTCCAATATTTCATTAAATGCAGCAATATAGATTTATGCGGCAGTACGCATAGGTAGAAGAATTGAAATGAGGTTGTCAGGGATTACAATAGGGTTCGTTAAATTTATCATTTCCGTTTTGATTCACCACCGATGACTTCGCAAATGAATGTTTACTTATTTGTCATTGCTATGTGATCCACCACAGAGCTCGGCTCCGAATTTAGGACGTGATTAGGAATTAGTGGACAAGGGCTTGAAAGACACACGGTTTATAGTTTTGTAATTTGTTTTCTTGCATTTGTGTTTCTCTTATTATTATGGTTCTTTATTTATCAGTTCTTATTCATCCTTTGTTTGCGATCATTGGCCAAGTGTTTGGGGTTAGAATGCTTATTTATTGAATAGTCCCCAACAAGGTAAATATGAAATTTCATGGTTCGAATAAATTTTTCAAGCTACATTACATTACAGCATTATTACTGCACCTTTATGTTACTTTTCTGTCATTCCCGTTACAGAAAGATGGAAAAAGTACACCCGACTCACGCAAGGCATCTTATGCAGAATTTCACTTGAAAAAAGGCAAGCTTGAACTATCATTTTGCATAAATTTTAGTGATGTGTTGAGTTATATTTCTTCGTTTGAAACTGACGGTTAATTAAATAAAACCACATACCGTTGATAACAAAATTTTTAGGAAATTATTGGTTGAAATTTTACACAAAATATTATTCCCCGCGTATCGAATATCAATGTTTGAATAGCTCAAGACAATTAGAGTGAGATTGCTTCATAATAACAGCGAACTTTCAATGTTGCTGTACGTTACATCATTACGTTATCGACGTTGGTGCTTATGACCGTCCTAATAACATCCTCGACGTTGGTGCGTATGGCCGTCCTAATAACATCCCTGACGTTGGTGCTTATGACCGTCCTAATAACATCCCAGACGTTGGTGCGTATGGCCGTCCTAATAACATCCCAGACGTTGGTGCTTATGACCGTCCTAATAACATCCCAGACGTTGGTGCTTATGACCGTCCTAATAACATTACCGACGTTGGTGCTTATGACCGTCCTATAACATCACCGACGTTGGTGCTTATGACCGTCCTAATAACCTCACCGACGTTGGTGCTTATGACCGTCCTAATAACATCCCCGACGTTGGTGCTTATGACCGTATCAATAACATCGTTCGTGTGCGTGTAGGTGAACGCTACAGACTTCGTGTGGTCAGCGCGGCGTTCATGAACTGCCCCATCGCGTTCAGCATCGCCCGCCACCGGCTGCTGGTGATCGCTTCCGACGGTCAGGACATCGCGCCCTACAACGCCTCCAGCGTCCTGCTCTTCCCAGGTACTGTTGCTCACAACGCTGCAAATATTCACTAATATTTATAACATTAATTTGTTGCTGATTTACAATTAATTATAAGGCGAAATCTTAAAAAAACTTGACTGCAAGATAAGTAAATACACTTGGCTGCGAGATTCAAGTTACGAGTAAGTTCTTATAAGGAGACATTACAACGCATAGAGATCTTGCTTTTCCCAGATAGCGTGTTTCTCACAGCGTAACACATATTACTGAACATTTGTGACAATATATAGTTTGATGATTTGCAATTAATTAGTAGTGGAAATTGCATCATGAAATATTTTTAAACCTAGATGACATGATAGAAATTGGGAGTAATTTTTTTTACGCACCACTGAGAATTTCTAAGCTGAGGTCTTCACGCCCAAATTCCGGCGCGTAGACTACACGTGATTCACTTTTCAGTGCAAATAGCAAACGAATTTTTTGGTTTAGCTTCTATATATCTTTTAAATTATTATAACAATGTATTTTCAGGATTTGCAGCACCTAAAGTAACTCCTCTAAAATATGGGCCTTGGCAGAGCAAATGTTTTACTGGGCGTATTACTATAGTCTTAAACTGAACACAAGCAATATCTGCTTGTGATCACGATCAAACGATAGGAGACTAAAATATATGAGCAATCACAAATTTTATCGCCTCATGAGTTAATATGCTGCTTCATCTGTCACATCCGCTCATTAGCACTTTAAATGCATGGAATTCCATCCTTATTAAAAGAATCCTATCGGAATTTATTCAATAATATGTTAAATTCTGAATGTACGTTGACTTCGTGTAAATTTCTATAATGTATTCAAGTTGCGATATTCTTTTAAATAAAATATCATCGAATTCGTGCAAGACAGGTGCAAAATACACTCAATGCAGCCACTAATGCGAGATAAAATTACAGTGTATTTTGTAAACAGAGAACGAAGAAAACGCAATTTCATTTGTTGTCTTTCCTACTGTACTTATAAGTTTTTATTCCAGTAGTGATAGCAGAGCAGCATTTCTATTTCCGCTTCTTCCCTCAATCTTATTTGATGTGAATAATTCTGATTCATAATAAAATATCCTGATACTCTGTGTTTATCCTATTAAGTTGGAATTTAATCAGTATAATTAATTAACTACTTTATTTAATTATACATTTTAATTAATTAAACTTGTCAATATCATTATAAGTGCAACAGGGTTAAGAATATTACCTCGAAATAAAATAGTAATTATTAGATTTTCGGTAAATAGGCACAAATCTGCAAAGAATTAGTCGTGTGATGTTACCAAAATTTGAAACATTCATGTACACGACGGTAAGAAATAAACATACGAATTTAGTATTAGGCGAGCGTTGGGACGTGGTGGTGCACGCAGACCAGCCACTCGCCAGCTACTGGATGGAACTGAAGGGCTCGCTGGATAGTCGTGTGATGTTACCAAAATTTGAAATATTCTTGTACACGACGATAAGGAATGAAGAAATAAACATACGACTTTTGCTTTAGGCGAGCGTTGGGACGTGGTGGTGCACGCTGACCAGCCACTCGCCAGCTACTGGATGGAACTGAAGGGATCGCTGGATAGTCGTGTGATGTTATCAAAATTTGAAATATTCTTGTACACGACGATAAGGAATAAAGAAATAAACATACGGCTTTTGCATTAGGCGAGCGTTGGGACGTGGTGGTGCACGCGGACCAGCCACTCGCCAGCTACTGGATGGAACTGAAGGGCTCGCTGGACTGCAGCGACCTGACGCAACGCGCCGTCGTGCGCTACTACGGCCGCGACGCGCGCGATCTCAGCCCCGACGACCGCGCCGAAGAGCCTGTGTCGGACATCTACTTACATGGCGGCGGCAAGGTAGGAAGTTTTGTTGCTTGAATTTTTGATCTGTTGACTTTTGAACAGAAGTTAGGGCAGAAAAAAGTTTTGTTGCTTGAGTTTTTGATCTGTTGACATTTGAACAGAAGTCAGAACAAAACCAAAGTTTTGTTGCTTAAATTTTTGATCTGTTGACTTTTGAAGAGAAGTTGGAGCAGAACCAAAGTTCTGTTGCTTGAATTTTTGATCTATTGACTTTTGAAGAGAAGTTAGAGCAGAACCAAAGTTCTGTCGCTTGACTTCTTGATCTGTTGACTGTTGAAGAGAAGTTAGAACAGATTCAGAGCTATGTTGCTTGAATTCTTGATGTGCTTAGACTCGTTTTTGTTTATTATCAAGATAATTATTGGCGTGTTACCCTGCGATGATATGACGTGATACCCTCCCTGATATGAAACTATTACGTTTTCAGACAAGGTTGATAAATTGATTACAAAAAGGGAATTGAAAAGTTTTTAAATTTGAATAAGGAGAAGATTTCTTACTAAATTGGTCCAAAATCGTTACCTTATTCCTTTTCTTAAAATTATCTTCTGAATGCTCCAGAAAAGCATTTTTTACGTGCATATGCCTAGCCATATTTTTCAGAAGCCATAGACAATTGGTGAAATATTAATTAATGATCACACGGCGTTACTATGCGTGCAGCAAGTGAACCCACTGAGCGGCGTATGTTCGGGCTCCAACACGTGCCTCACAGACCTGCAGTCACTGTCTCCTCTGCCTCACCACCTCGCAGACGTGGCCACCACACACTACCTTAACTTCAACCTACGATACCTCGACAACCCTAACTATTATCACCCTCTTCTTTACTCTATTCAAGACGGTGAGAACTATCAATACCTTCTGCGATGAATATATTCTATATACTTTTTGTATCAAAGTCAAAATAATTCACTATTGATCCTAAACCACTGTTTAACATACATTTTCCTTAATTTGAACTAAGCCTTGATCAAAGATAGCTTCAACAATCGTTTTTTTTCACAGAAAACGAAGCGACTCGAGTGCCGTCACCCCAAATCAACAACTTAACCTTCCGAGCTCCACCGTTCCCTCTGCTTCTCACGCCAGCGCAGCCCTCACAGGAGTCTCTGTGTAACACGCAGGCTTCACCCACTCACTGCCACAGAGATCTGTGTCAGTGTCTGCACGTCATCGACGTACCTCTGCTACAAGTCGTCGACATCGTCCTTATAGATGCTGGTTCGTTCATTGCTGATTGACGTGCAGAGTGGAGAACTGTGCCAGCCTGTCCTTAAATACAATGTAAATTTTAGAAATGCTTTTAGTTTATTCACTTAGTATAATAAATTTAATATAGCGGTTTCAGCGTTGATTGGGTCATTAGGCCTGGCGGTAATTCGTAACATCGCAGAACATTCACAGTTTGTTGCGGTCTCGAACACTCTACTCACTGGTCCAATTCTACTGTGCTTAACCGCCCAGCCTTCTTGCCGATTCTGACCAGAAACTTTCGCACAGAGCTGGGATCGCATCCTTAGTATCCTTGTAGCACGCACCTCTGCTTAAATCCTGATGTTCTAAATTGTAACAACTTGGCCACTGTTCTAAATTTGTTCCCTCAGAATTCTAAGTGGGGTCTTCGCAAGAATATGATTTTCTTGCTTGAGAGCTGGTCGGTATTTAGTTTTATAAACCTTCCTATTATTCAGTCATGTGTGATGTCTTATTAAATTTCAGGAGGCGTGAGCAATCACGGCCAGAGCGTGCACATGCATGGCAACGCCTTCAGGGTAGTAGGGATGGGCGCGCTGCCTCCTTCGTCCTCCTCAGAATCAGACTCTGTCCTGAGGTCGCAAGTTATTGCATTAGACGAACAAGGGCTTCTGCCGCGCAATCTTGACACTCCCCTTGAGAAGGATACCGTGATGGTGCCTAGAGGGGGCTACACAATCATAAGATTCCGCGCCGACAACCCAGGTGATACTTAACAGAATTATTATGCCTTTTAGAAATATCCCGTTTCTTAATTTGTGATCATATACGTAAAGTATTGATTGTTTGCGAAGCACGGCTCACGCTACACCCAGATGAGGTATGCTCCAATAAACATAGGATAAGTGTTAATTAAAATTTACAAGAGAATTATTCATGGTTGTATTTTTTCCAGGTTATTGGTTATTGCAGTCACAGATCCTCTTCCACCACACCGCTGGAATGTCGGTCGTTTTGAAAGTCGGCGAACGGTCGGACTTTCCTGCGCCACCTTCCAACCTTCCACGATGTCCATCGTAGACTAGCACGCTTTTATTCATAGTTTTCTGTGTATTATTATTTTACTAATTTTCTTATTACAACTGAAAACTCGAAGAGAGCTCGTACAGCCCATAGTGCTGATAGTTAAGAAGGCTGTCAACATTCGGTAGCATGTATGATATTTTTTGGCATATGTCTAGGATTCCTTCTAGAAGCACTGCGATATTAAAAGTCATCTGTGTGATTTTTTCTTCTATTTGAAATTATTTACAGGTCAGGAAGATATTCCTGATATCTTACCGTGCTTTTAATACAAAAATAAGTGATCTCAACGAGGCGCAAGATAGGTTCATTTATTATTGCATATTTATTCTGCAAATAGAATTACCAGAGGAAATTAAAAGCTTTCCTTAAGTTATATTTTCGAAAAGTAGTGAAAGTCGTGCGTGCAGTTCATTGAATAGCTTCGTCTAAAGTCCTTGATCATGTAGCGCCAAAGAGGACGACAGGAATGGTTAAAAAAGTGTCCAAAATATCAGCTCGGTCTGAAACTTTTGAGACCTGACAGCCATTGATAAAGTTTGCAGCATTACTCACGAGGGGTCAAAAGTGGAAGTTGTTTTAATTTTGCTAGGGGTTCTTACTGGCTCAGTATACATTCAATCTGTTTAAGATTGAATATCTCAATTTTTTTAATTAAATGTAATATCTCAAAATTCTATCTGTTGGTACCTGTAGGTCCCAGAGTGTGGCAGTTTATAAGTATCAATTCAGAAGGTAAAGTGCGTGCAATACTTGGAAAACAATTAAGGTATGGAATTTCCTTGAGCGTGCAAATTTGACCAATGAAACTCTTGATTTGTTATTTGTTTGCTGTAGTCTTGATTGAATAGATAACACACCTATTAAAGCGTCGTCCATTTAGCAGGTTTTCAGCTTCACTTCCCGAAAATTGTACCTGTTGAGTTTGTAACTATAAATGTTTGCACTAGAATTTTTTTTTTTTTGCGTGGAAACTGTGCTGTGTGATTTTTTCTTAAACCTTAACCTTTTTCATTCTGAGTGCTTGTAGTCAGTTGACCATTCCTTATATTTATAAGGCGAGAAAAATTATATGTAAATAATAGATCACTGCCAAACCTCGTTAAAAAATACTCCTAAACTCGATGAGGTTGAATGTGATGCTCACCGAGCGATCTCCCATGATGGCATTTGTTCTTAGCAGAAGTTTAGTCACAATTTTAGGAATTAATTCATTGCTTTTTAAGTCTCCACGTAACCTGATTTTAATTATTTCTAAGTGGACATCGTTCCTATTTGGTAGAGAAGAATTCGTTATGCGGTTAGTTTTGTAACATGTGTTAACGTATTGTGTTCTCCCATGCTCATGTCTATTGCTGCATTAATTTTTTTCGAGAAATTAATTCTTCTGATCACATTTTTTGTATTGTGCAATTGATATTTTGCTAGAGTAAGAAGAACAATGTTTCGTTGGCAGCTTGAAGTAAATTAAAAAAAATTATTGAATATGATTATGAATCTTAATTCTCATATTTCAATTAAACTACCGAAGTGTCCAGGTGTCAATTGGGAGAAGCAATTTTTTACACTGGCGATTAAATAAAAAATTTACAATCTCATTATAGTAGCCATATTTTTTGCACTTCGAATTAAGCTGTTTGTTCTTTTTCCGCTTCCATTACGTGAAAAACTGTTTATGTTTGCTCCCGGGAAGTAACATAAGTTAAATGTAAAGTTGGGCATTATTGGCCTCCAAAACGCACCCGTAACTTTTCTAGCATTTTAATCCAAACAAAAAAAAAAGACATAAGAACGAATTCAGCATTATATAAATTGATCATTAGCTGGAGACTTCTATTGCTTGGTGCCATCTCGACTGGTGCAGTAGATTGCTTCTTGGAAGAGCTATGATTTGGGAAAAATTTTTGCTGGTTGTGGAAAAACGAAGGAATGCCTGTTCTATGTCATTGAACGCGCGATATCTTGTTGATTATAGAATCTATGATCTTCCCGGGAGTAAATATTAATGTGATATGTAAATATATATCCGAGTTTGAGGTTAGTGAAAGCTAGTAAAGGGAAATTAACTCATTTTAGATTAGTATTTCTATTGTTGATCAGAACAACGAACATTAATTCATGATTTTATGTCTTCGAGAACTGTTTGTGGCCACTGTTTAGTATTAAATTTTTAACCCTTGACCAATGAACGAGTTTTAAAGGTATTGGTGGCCTTACCTCCAAGTTTGTTGTTCAAATAACAGAGACATTCTGATTGTGGTTAGCTTTTTTCGAGAAAGAGTAACGACAATTTTGATGCTTGATATTGCTGGAAGATTACCCGAATTATTTTAACAACGACACTAAAGGCTTTCTTGTTTTGTGTTCAATCTTTCTATCACTTGTCATAAATGATTTTTCGTTGCGTCTAATAATTGATTACCCCACGAAAATTGAAAATTGAAGCGTCGGAAATTGATCTTGCGTTAGAGTACTGCAACCTTAACCATTTTTAATTGAGACAAACTTTTCTACCTTTGCTGTTGTTTAAAAACTTTTTTTCAGGGCCCTATATAGGACGCGTCACAGATTATTATAGCGGTTTCAGGGAATAGGCTGAATGCCTATGCCTAGGCAATGGAAGAATAGTTAGAAGTTCATGGGCAAAATAAGCATTCAGTACGACATAATGATAACATTTTGTGGTCCTGTAAATAAACAAATAACTCAAACAAGAATATAATGTTAGAAAATCTAAAAATATTAGAGAGGTTATCTTAATCACAAAAAATTGTTCACAAAGAATACTATAAATTGAATAGACTTTAATATATTTGGAGTGAAGGTAGTGAGCATGGACATGGGATAAAGCTACAGTGGTAGCTAATTCTGAAGACACTCCCTCCGCATTGATGAGTAACGGCTAGAGAAGTGAGGCGGTCCAATGAAACTGAACGCATGTCGTTTTATCGTGCTGCCGGTCATTGAACCGCTTCACAGTTATGTTAAATCAGGTGCGTTAATTCAGAAAAAGCCTCAGACTGACGGAAGGTGAATGATAATTTAATAACTTATTATGTCGGTTTAGCCCCTGTATTCAAGCAAGCAGAATCATATCAGAATTGACTGCGATTATGCTTGCTAAAATTCAACGGGCTAAAAATTCATCGAGTTACTTTATTAGTCGAAGTTCATTTTTATTTATCACTATCGTCATTTTCGCGGTGAAATATGTCACTGGAGCTCGCATAGCAGACAAGGGATGGAATCATACAAATTCATCAATAATCATTAAAATTAATTATACGGGTCAATAAAATAGAATAGAAAAAAATATTAGTCATAGTTCCTTTTATTGGTCGTACGGTTGTCAGTAAGGGGAGTACTAATCATAGATCTGCAGAGGGTATACGTCGAAGGCAGCACCCCTCACTTCCCTCTCGCTGATGACACGTGACGTCGTCAGATAGTTGGGCAGCGGTAGAGGGTGAACACACGTCGTCATGAGGCTCGGCGTGAGCAAGTTCAAGTTGTTGTGTTGCTTTTTGTGGAGTGTGTTGAGCCTGTGTTCACCGAGGCTTGTTTCTGCAGGTGATTTTAATATTCTGATATTAGTAGCAATAGATCATCGGTATGAATTTTGTTTGCAGAATAAATTAAATTAATGAAAAATTAACCATTTTCGACCTTAATATGCAGAAGGTTATTGCTTGTAACATTTTTTTCCTTAAAGTACAATAGTTTAGCTAGATAATTTTTCACAAATTGAGTTTTATATTGTTCACATGCTAGTATTGCTGAAGCAATTACGTGCTGTAATACAAGCCAGAACTTGAAGCGCATCGGCCAAAAACGAGTTGCGGTCAACTCTTTGGCTATCAAAAACGTAAAATGAATTTGTTGCTATCCAATCTATAAAATTGGAGGTGGGCAAAATAGAAGAATTTGCAATAGTAACACATTATTGTACCTCGTAATAAATTCACATAAAATGCTCCGTGGATGTATTTGTTGTTTCGTCGTGATGAATAAAGTTGACAAGTTTACATTTGCTGAGGTTGTTCAGAAAATAATTTCAAGGCTGCAGGTTACGTAAGATTTCAGGGAAAATAAACTGGTTAATTTTTTATGACATTTAGTATATATATTCTCTCGGTTTCGCCTAAGTCTTTGAGATGAATCACAGACTCGAGTTTATGCTAGTTTTATTATTTATGTTAACTTCCTATTGTTTCTCGCCCGACAATGATTCTTTCGTTTTTATTCGCCGGCAGAAGCCAGTGGTCATGCAGGAGACGATAGCAGACCACGAGAAAATTCAGTGCGGTTTCTTGCGCCTCAACATCAGTGGAACACCAATGAGGCCTTCGATGTGGCAGTGTCCCCAATTGAGCAAAACCCACGCGACGATCACGACGTTAAATGCATTGCAGTAGACTACGGAGTCATCAAAGCTCCCGATAAGAAAAGCAAAATTTATCGGCGAACGAAGAGGAAAGTTATTTCGCGAGGCGGGTATTACTTACTTTCGAGTAAATCAGGTGGATCCCCGTGGTTGAACCCCAGCTCAGGGGGCTCGGGGACATTCCAGCGAAATTCCCGAGGTGCATGGAGCGGCCGTGGTGGCATGGGACGCGGGTACGGCGATCGTAACCGTGGACGTCAAGGTGGCCGTCGAGGAGGGGGCGACGACGAAGGCCGTGGGAGAAACGGTCGTAAAAAAATCACCCAAAATCTCAAGATGGAGATCGGCCAATACGCGCAGCAGAAGGGGGTAAAGGCGGCCGCTGAGCAATACGAAGGACGCGTAGGCAGGAAATTGAAGGAAAGAATTGTAGAAAAATTTGCACGGAGGTACAGAATACGCCAGGAACAAAGGTCCAAAAGAGGAAAAGATGGCAAGAAGCGATTGAAAGGCGAAAGGAATTAAATACTGGGTAGTGCGGTCCAGATATTCCTTCTGTGAAGGGTGGAAGACAGGAACATATTCATGAACGAACACCACTCTTGCTGCGAAAATTCATGTGGCGAATGTTTGCTGAAAATTGGCACAATGTTCTGCATGGAACAAAAAAACATATAGTGTGTCAAAGCATATTCAAGTAAATTCTAACAATATTAGTGCAAAATATCTTCATCAAGTGCATATTTGGACCCACAGTTCGGGCATTTCAGAAGAATTGGTGAATTAATAGAAACTAAAAAGAAAAAATATCAAATTCAACGCATTTTTAATTTTATTCAAGATTTTGTCGAAGTGTGACCGACGAAAATACAACATGGATCGTTTAAGATAGAGTATAGACTATTCCCGGAACAGAGATAATGCGGGCCGCTTCAGTATACACTGATGAAACATTTTGACATGAAATGCCGAATTTGTAATTAATGCTTCGAATATTATTTGTAGGGTAATATTATAAGTAAGTCTTAATGTTCAAATGTTTTATGTAAATGCTACGACTTGGCGTTGACATGTTCCTGAAGATCTTATTCTAAAATAGGTGATATCAACGGTTGGTATTCAAGTTAATCCCAGAGTGCACGTTGCAGCAGGCAACAAATATTTATGACGATGTTATATAACTACTTCATTACCCTTCAATATAATAAGAAGAATCTATGTTAGGTTGAGAAGTACATCGTTTTCTTGAACGTTGCTGTTCCGTCATTTCTAAATCCGTTTTTGAATAAATCATACTTTGAGAAAACAAACTGTTTTAATACTTTTATTTCAATATTAAATATTTTCTAATGCTTCATATTTATTTTTAGTTTCATCAGCAAATTTCACATTTTTTATGATTTTAAATTGATCCAAGTTATTTTTGGTTATGTCATATAAATAAAATAGATGTAATGCGTCAGTAGCGTTGCATAGTCTAAATTCAAGCGTCAAATCCTTACTCAACTTAATCTACTAAATATATTACCCAATTATGCTTTCAGGAGTGAAAGTACAGAATTGAACAATAATTTTTCACTGCATTTATCTGAATTACAGCTAAACTTTCCATCTGATGTCAAAGCAAGCGATATATCATATATATTCGTCAGAGACTGGCTCACTTCAGAGAAGCATGTATCGCCAGGAAGCTCTCACTTGATCGCGTCCTATAGCTGACTCTCTGTCCAGTTAGCTCTCCCACAGGATATATGAAACTTTCCTTCTAACACTTCAATACGGTAATTGTTGTAGATATTCTACGAAGTGTACCGCCATGAACAGTGCGGCGTGTTACTTGGTCGCAATGTTTAACAGCACAGTTTTAAAGAGTGGATGACGCTTTAATTAGAGCTTATCAATGAACCAACGCAGGCGGTCGTGCAATTTAAATTATGAAATAATTTCTTATTCTAAGAATTTTAAGTTTTAATTGCAGACATACGCACACAATTATGCAGATATATGTAAATTTATGCAGAAGCGTAAATATTTAATCCCGTGATTGTATGTATTTATATTAAACTAACTCATAACAGTTGTGAGAAAATTTTTTAGCGTTGTTTTCGTACTATTGACTGCGTTAAGATTATTGGCTAGGTTACGTATGTCAACATCACCTTAGGCTCTGCTCCTAAAAAACATCATCTCCAGTAAATGACTTTATTTAACGATCCGACTATTGCATGGCTATTAGCCTACTACATACTCATATAAACGGGTTGTTGTAGTGGCCGAATCGTCGTCGAATACAGGCCGATTTCATCCTTCGCCAGCGCATTGCAAGCAAGATAAACATCTAGCGCATATCTGCAACCACAACACTGTACAGTGGCACCAACGAAAGCGGGCAACGGACAGGAAGTTTTAATCGGCATACGTGGAAGTACGGCACTCATCCGCGAACGGAACACTGCGCACTACTCGTGGATTCTCCGGATCGTTCAAGCAATAAGTTAGCCGCTTGCTACTTGGAACCTACGTTAGTTGGTGTTCGTACTTGGAGCTTGTTAATATAATTTGCTCCAATTTAATGTGATCGAGAACTGCTGGTGAGGAGAATTTTACTTCCATGAATTAAAGTATTAAACTACTCGGCACTTCTCATCGAATCATATGCTATGTCCACCGAGTATATGCGACAGGCACTCGCACATCGACAAATATTAATTTCGATTGCCAGCTACGAATTTTACTAATGGAAACCGATTTGCACGCAACGACAGCTAAACATGTAACCGAGCTAGTGCATCCCGTGCTGAAGAATACGCTCATGGAGACAGGAGCAACTGCGAGCGCCTAATTCAACAACTAATAGTGCTTCATGGTTAGTACAATTATATATGATAGCCTATGTGGTGCTTCATGGTTAGTAGGTACAATAATATACATGATAGCCTATATCCAATCATGTTAACCTTCACTTTCAAAATAATTTGAACATGTTGACATTCAATAATAATCGCTTTTATTTTTTCCGAAACGTTAATCAAAACAATTACCGAACTGAAAATGATTCATCCCTAGATCACTTTCAATAGTAAGCGCTAATGCTTTTTTCCGAAACGCTATTAAAAAGAGTTATTGCCTTTTCGATTCATCCTTCGAAACGAACGAGTAAATAAAACGTTTACCTACAGTAAAGAAACGACAGCACGGGGCTGTTGGTTTATGCGTCTGAATCTTGACTAAAATTAACATAACGCCATAGCCAGCGGGTGTGTCATCTTTCACATCAATTACATGTTCGCTCCCAGCAGTCGTCCTCGATCGTACGGCATTACGTCTGTGCAATCCAAAACATCGCATTACAGCTATGATGTTCGCATGAATGTTAGTCATTAAGTCATTGCTATCCAATTCAGAGGGAAATTAGAGGAGGTGTTGGTTATAAAGGTGAGACAGCACTGGAAGATCTCAGTATAGTTAGCGTGGTGCTGGAGAAAGGTACTGCTTCTGAACGCCAGCCTCAGGTGAGCTGGGCGTGTGCCGATCACATGCGTCTTTAGAAATCTGGATGTGGATCGGACAGAGGATTTTGGGCGACAAAAATTTCCGCCAGTATTGCATAATTCTATATCGCGGTTATCAGAACACGAGTTTAATTTGATCACATGACCTAACCAACTTTCAATTAATAGGAAAACGCAAGAATTACGATACCTGGTCTCGGTAGTGGTCTCGATTAAGTCGGTAGTCTTTACTACTTTCAAATAATTATATTTGCTAGAATACTTCATACGTAGTTTCTTTTCTTCAAACTTGAGAGCAATTCGAATATTATGAACTATGAATAAATATTCATGACCTGCATGTGAGGTCAGAATTGACTCCTGCAGCGAGGCCTCATCAAATTGACCACATTTTTTTTAGATCATTCAAGTCGATCACTTCGGGGATAAATTCAATCAGTGAAATGAGTTCGCTTTTTTTCCAAAAACCGATGCACCTTTTGCCGTTGTATGACTCATCCTTACCCTGTTTGGCCCGGCAAAGGGGCGTATCAGTTCTACATAGGCTCGCGCCTCGTGCTGTGGAAGGAAATGTGTCACTATTTTTAATAAGTGGCATATTAATTTTTTTGACTGAAGAGGCTCTTATTGCAAAATAATCTGCTAGTAACTTATTTTGCGCAGAATTATTAGTTAACTAATCACAGCGACTCTGTCTATGAAAATCATTTTTTGAACATCGCATTTCAATAAATATATTTTTCCTGCGAATATTGAAACACTATTGCTATTGTCAACGGCCCATGAGTGTGTATGCACGATCGCTCAGAGATGATTTGATGCACCTAAGTATATCAAAACAGCAGTCAAATTTCTGTCAGTGTAGGCGCACCGGTGGATGTGTGCATAGCGCTACTTTCGCTGCCTCCGTTGCTCTAGGCAGGACCACAGACTGCGATTACTAGAGTTTAGAGTACACATAGTTTTACAGTTTAGAGTCCCCACAGTTTTACAGTTTAGAGTACACACAGTTTTACAGTTTAGAGTACCCACAGTTTTACAGTTTAGAGTACACACAGTTTTACAGTTTAGAGTACCCACAGTTTTACAGTTTAGAGTACACACAGTTTTACAGTTTAGAGTGCACACAGTTTAACAGTTTAGAGTACCCGCAGTTTTACAGTTTAGAGTACACTTTTAGAGTACCCACAGTTTTACAGTTTAGAGTACCCATAGTGTTACAGATTAGAGTACGCACAGTTTTACAGTTTAGAGTACCCACAGTTTTTTAGTTTAGAGTACACACAGTTTTACAGTTTAGAGTACACACAGTTTTACAGTTTAGAGTACCTACAGTTTAGCAGTTTAGAGTAGCCATAGTTTTTCAGTGTAGAGTACCCACAGTTTTACAGTTTAGAGTACCCACAGTTCTACAGTTTAGAGTACCCACCGTTTTATAGTTTAGAGTACCCACGGTTTTATAGTTTAGAGTACCCACAGTGTTATAGCTTAGAGTACCCACAGTTTTATAGTTTAGAGCACCCACAGTTTTATAGTTTAGAGTACCCACAGTTTTACAGTTTAGAGTACCCATAGTGTTACAGATTAGAGTACGCACAGTTTTACAGTTTAGAGTACACACAGTTTTACAGTTTAGAGTGCACACAGTTTAACAGTTTAGAGTACCCGCAGTTTTACAGTTTAGAGTACACACAGTTTAACAGTTAAGAGTGCAACCAGTTTTACAGTTTAGAGTACCAGAAGTTTTACAGTTTAGAGTACCCACAAATTTACAGTTTAGAGTACACACAGTTTTACAGTTTGGAGTAAACACAGTTTTACAGTTTAGAGTACCCGCAGTTTTACAGCTTAGAGTACCCACAGATTTACAGTTTAGAGCACCCACAGTTTTACAGTTTAGAGTACCCACAGCTTTACAGTTTAGAGTACCCACTGTTTTACAGTCCACAGCTTTACAGTTTAGAGTGCCCACAGTTTTACAGTATAAAGTACCCACAGTTTTTATAGGTTAGAGTACCCACAGCTTTACAGTTTAGAGTACCCACAGTTCGACAGTTTAGAGTACGCACAGTTTTACAGTTTAGACTTTTAGAGTACCCACCGTTTTACAGATTAGAGTACCCATAGTTTAACAGTTTAGAGTACCCACTGTTTAACAGTTTAGAGTACCCTCAGTTAGAGTACCATATTTTTTATTGTCTAGAGTACCCAAAACTTAACTTGACCTCGCGAGTTATGATATAATAAAGCACTTGAATGAAACCTGTTCCTGCCTAATATTGATTTGTTGTTACGCAAAATTTCCCCTGTAATTAAGTTGCATTAGCATTAAAAAAACATAAACATAACAATATCAATACAACTTCATTTTTTAGTATTACACATGTGGTAGCGACAAAATATTTTATCAGCAAAAATATAGGCAACAAATTTATTAATAATATATACAATTGTTTAATTTATCAAATTAAAAAATTTATATATATTCAAATGAATATAAATAAGTTAATTTGTTTTGTAACTCAAAAGCCGTTTTCACTTCATGTTGCCTATTTGGGTTAATATGTCTGAAGCAGAAGAAATAAAAAGGATCTTTTCTGCCCTGGAACAGAAGACGTTCTCCTCGCATGAATCAGGGTCAGTGTTTTTTTTTCTTTCGCGGATTGGAGCCTCCGGAGAATCTGCCAGACCGGCCGCTGGTCGAACAGCCATCGAAGCGTCGCAGGCAGACTGCCCGGAGAGAATAAAAAATTTTTTATTGAACTGTTGGAAAAAAAGTTGAACTCAGCACCTGCGCCGGCCTAAGAAATGTGTTGAGATAATGAGTAGAACTGCATCCTCTCGGGTACCAAGAAGGCCGGGGAAAGTAGTTGAGTAGCAATGTAGGTTGAGATACGAGCAAACGTTTTGCGACCGACATCGAATTCCAAGTTTTAGTTAAATTTATTAAAATACAAGCAGCAGTAGGTTCATCGACTAAAATTATCGTTCAATTCTATTGAGAAACAATAAAATTTATAAGCAAACAAAATTTCAGTGATAAGTAATGGACATTAATCAACCAACGCTCTAAGATGGATTCGTCAGTATTTATCAAAAGGCTCTTATCTCAACTGCGCTTGTGGGAACAAAAGGCAATGCAGCTAGAGGAGATAAACCAATATTGATTGGATATTATTTCAGCAGATGCGCACGAATTTAATACACTGAGTGCGTAATTAAAACCGAGTTAATTACGCGTCGGTATCATCGCGAACCAGGGTTGCGTTTAGCCAGGAATCAATTCATATAATATATACAATGTAGATCACGGACTCGATGATTCATCTCAACTAGAAATTAATTTGAGCTTTGATGTTGACCATACATCTATTTATTTTTTTGTTCACTTGAAGAAGAACAGCCGCTCATTTCGTTATTCTAAACTCTAAAGGAAAGGTTCTATTTACGTTTCAGTGTAAAATTACGATTAAGGTGTTGGGAATGACGGCGAAAAATTTTCCTACCCTTTGAAACCCTGGGTCCACTTGATTTACCTAAGTATTTTTGATGGCTTCATCACTAGACCGGCGCCTTGGCACACACCGCGAGAGCAATATCAATGTGCCAGCCGGGATTTTATTAATATCTTATATATATTTTTGGAAAGGGAAACGAAATATTTTGTTGGTAAATATCATACTACAATTGGAATTCTTGAGGTTTTCGAACTGGTGATAAGGTGAAATCACTTGTAGGAATGTCGGTATTTCCTACAAGTAATTAATTTTAAGGGTTATTCTAGAGCTGGAGATTGAATCAATTTTATATTTAACCCTCTGAGGCATTACATAGCGAGGAATTCTGGTAAGGTAAAATGAAAAATAGTGGCAGACAGAGAAGTGACGATATGCAGGCGCCCTCCTTTATATTTAGTAAGTATTAAGACCGGTCGTATATAACCCAGAGCAAAGCGTGCCTGAGAGAAAATGCACTGTCTCTGTTGGCATCCAGTCTTTTCACTGAACGAGATAGCGGGTATGATCGCCCCTCTCCTTTTGAGGTCGCATTTCGCCCGGAAGGACTCGACTGATTTGAATTGAGGTCGAATAGTCTACACAGTTTTCTAGACTCGTATAACTCGGAGGCATAACTATTAGTAACAGCTCAGTAGGCTGCATAAACACATTACCGAAGTTTAAATGTTGAACACTAAAATAATTTTAATAAACAATACTTTGTGAACGCTCCGTGTGTCAGATAATACGCTAATAAAATGACACATCCCATGACGTAACCGATACCCATTGCAATTGAGCACGGTTTTCAAATACAAAAAAAAAATTGGATGACTCTTAATTTTTTACAGAACATTTGTGCCATGTGAGGAATTGACTTAACCCTCTAGCGTCCAGCCGTGCATATATGACGCCTTTCTAAACGTCGCTTTTGTTTATGCATGAAGCTTATTCATGCAATTGGACAAATATATTGCCTTCAATTTAAGGCTGCGCTATGACCAGGTGAACATATATGTCGCCCGTCCAAGTTTTGAATGAATAAATTTCAGCAAAGTTGTACGGGCGCAATGTGGTATTTTGCACTGTCAAGAAGGTTGGTCGCTTTAGAGATAAGTGATTGAGTACACGGGCGGCATTCTCGGTGGGCTACCCACAAGGGAAAGCGAGTTACGCTCCGAGCGACGCCAACGAAAAACCTCGCTGCCTGCACGCGACGCAGCTTCTTCAGACAGTAACATCGGTCTCTCATAGAGCAGCCGATGTGAATGAATGCCTTCTTCATGTTCGAGTGGATGCTGCTTCATGCTTTATGCAATTTACGAGCCAGGATCTGCATTCCTATGATGCTCATTAATCATCTTTTGCGTCCACCTAGTGTTTGCCTTCCCACTCAGTACCCGTAGATTTAATTAAACAATCGTTTTTCAGGTTAGACAAGATCAGTTCAAGAACTATCAACTTAAATAATTTTGCTTATTTGAAGGGTAATTGGTACTCGTTACCTATATTTAATTTGAAAGATGAGCAGATAATGCTCATCTTTGATTTGAAAGATGAGCAATTTGAAAGATGAGCATAGTAGTCGATGATCCTGTCTTTGGTCAATAAACAAAAATCTATTATTATTTTTATAATTATTTTGTTACATTATTTGCAGATAACTCGACAAAGATGAAAATTAAAAAATAGAAGAATGAGACATGGGTAATTTTTAGCTGAAATAACATATAACTGATTATATCAGGAAATCATGAGTAAGGTAGTTGGCAAGTAGCTATCTGATGATGGTGCGGCCTTGCTATTAAATACCATCCATTCTTGAATTGATCACATGTCTTAGACGCGCGGCTCATTAAAAAAATAGTTTAAATTTAATTCGAGACTGAAGCATGAAATAACATAACTTTTTGCAACCGTGAAGTTATATTAACCCATAAACAGCGTTAAAAAAAGACTCAAATGCTCAACCTACGGCATTTTTCTGAAACAACACGGAAAACGTGATGTTGTATCGTAAACTCAGGAAAGTTTGCTCCCAAGATTAGGGATGCGTAGAGGAAAGTCGCAGCTGTTAGGCAGGTAGCGAGAAAAGTTCAGTCCTACGTTATTTACGCTGCAAGAAAATAGCACATCGTTCTGCCGAGGGCTTCACCCATATGGGCGAACTGGCGTACTAGAGTGCAGCTAAGAAAAGTCTTTTGCGATAAATGTATTTTTTTAAAGCTACTCTCTACCCTTGAGCGAGGCACTTCTGTTCAAAACTCGGGGCATAGAATCTTTAGTCCTCCATCAGCCGCTGCCACTGTATAGGTAGATCTCAAGTCTCGAATGGAGTTGGTGCACACATTTTATTGCATGCCAATGTGTTTTCAATGAGACGATCTCTGGAAACAAAACGTCTATTGCACAGGCAAAATGTTGCATATACATACTTGGTGATTCTGAAAAGTAAATTCGTCAGTTTTAGAAGAAGGTTAAGTTGTAATTGATATTAAAAAGACTTGCGTCAAAGTTGTATGAATGCGTCCAAATTGCGAGGACCATTGTAATTTTAAAAGATTTTTTTTTCCTTTCCCTCTAATCCAATCCATGGAGTACGTCTTGTTAAGACGTCCTAACATATTTGAACATCTAATATTGAATTAGCATCACATTGGACGAGTTCTTATGCAGTAATTAAGAGGAAAATTAACAACACAAATCGTTTTTCCTACATCGGGGGTAGGTTTTTATCATTGATAGGTCCAGTTTTAAGCGTCGTAAACGAAAGGCCAAGTGCCTATCAATAGGTCAATGTTTTATCAGATCTCTCATCTTAGGGTTGGGGATTTTTTAGGCTGAATTGGGCAACTTCTCGAGCGATTTAAATGCCAGTGTCGTCAGCTAGTGATCGTATACGACTCAGAAAGCTCATGGATAAAAAATGAACCCAATATTTTAGCATAAACTATGTATATAACGGAAGCAATTCGAGCATAAATGAATGACAGAGCAAGTGAAATATTTGTTTAAAATGGCTAGGATCTTTTACCGTAAGAAGAATAAGGTTTCAGAGTTGCTCATGTTCTCACATTCAAGATGGGTGTTGACAAATACATGGTGATGTGTTTTTTTATAGATTTTTATAGACATGCAAGTTCGTATTGGGACACAATGTTTTACAATGCGGCACACAAAAGAACTAAATCTACTCTCTTTTGAAAGTAGTTAATATTTTCTCTTTACGACAGACTCGTGAACATGAGAAGCTGGAGACTCACAGTAACATTGCTGCTCGTCGCAGCGGTTGCGGCTGATCCGGCATCCAAGAAGAAAAGCGTGAGTTGATTCGTGTTAATCGAGTCGTAAGGGCAGTAATTGAATAAAATACTCATTTCATATTCTAAAATCGAATTGCTTGATGTGATGTTTTGTAATAAGTCATTTGCCCGAGAGAAACTTCGCAGAAATCTCCCACAGGTGACCGACATAAGAAGCAAGTTCAGGATTGATTGAAAGTTAAAATTGATATTTATCGGTATTATCAGTAATGTAGATTGAGGGAATAAAAAAACGTATGGAACTTAAACACAAGTTATTATTTCAACTCCGATGCACGTAATGAATTCAGTTATGACACCTGTTACTTAATTTGCACCATATGCCGCGACAACCTGAGACTACCATCTGCCAGACAAGTGCGTGACGCTGATGGCGGTGCGACGTGACTAGATTCTTGATGTTTGGCCAGGAGCTCAGGAAGGGAAACGAGAAAGTTGAGCTACTGAAAGTGTCCTGAGTGGCAGATGGAAGAGCCGCTGACTAACGACTTGAAATCATAATTGATTTTCAGCTAACGATAGAATGAAGAATTTCGTTCAACAACTAAGATGAACGCAAGGAAACTCATTGAAAAATACCACGGCACATACGATGTAAAATGTGTGCTGATGACGGATATGCATTACATATACATGCCATGAAGCAGAAAAAATCATTTCTAACCCAACATTCTAAATTGGATGAAATGCTTCTTGAGGTTTCGTACGTATAGAGAGCTCGTAGGTCATCATTTGGTTAAGAACTTGAATGCACGGCGACGATTTAAACTCGCTTAACCGACGATGTGCACGCACAAGCTCAGCGCATATTTCCTAACCTTGAAATCCCGTTACTATCCCAAACAATACGATGGTTTACATTCGATTATTACGCTATGGTAAGGTTATGAAATATGTTTTTTAATAAATCTCTCGCAGAACGACAGCGAAATATTAAGAAATTATAGTTTTTGTTTGCAACTAATTTCGGAGCTAAACAGGGAAATGATCTAAGTTATGCTCCAGTAATTCAAAATTACCGTTACTGATATAGTGATATTACTATTGCTACTTCCGTGACAAAATAAAAACCACAATGAAAAAAGTAACTAGGTCATAGGTGTGCGGGTTGCCCTATTTATTTTCGAATGCTCTGTTTTCAATTTGGAAGCGTGACTGAGGATGATGTTATTTTATGTGATTGAGTGAGGTTTGATAATGTCGAGACAAATGAAAATCAGGAATCGTTTGGAGCAATTTGATGTGTCCAAGGTAACCATAAAATCATTTGCCTAGGAAAAACTTTATGTATGATAAACTAACCTAACCTAACGCCAATGCAATGACGCACTTGACAATGAACACACAGAGAACGCGAACGATACCATTCCGCTACGTGGATCCGTCCGAATTGGGTGTGGCTGCACCGAAGAGTTTTAGCTTTCAAGGGGGCGGTCAACGGACTAACTTGCATGGCAACATCAGGCGTAGCAGCAGTGCGGTACGTAACATAAACTGGTAAACAATTTAGCTCGAGTTAATTTAAAGGAATAATGTTAATTCACTTGCGCACCCAGTTGGCGAAACAATATTAATTTACATTTTTAACATTGAAATAAGAATTAGGTTCATGGGTAATACTTTATTTTGATGAGCCCAGGATGATTAAACGCTGGTCACTGAATTAAGGTATGGCTTATGGAAGAGCATGGCTGTGCTTGGTTCACAACTTCACAAGCCATCTGAAATACGTGTATATGGATCACAGGAAATACGTTTTTGAATACGATTTTATAAATTTTATTACCGGATCATCGGAGAATCAATTGTAAAATTTTGAATATTTACGTGCTATCGTTTTCTGTAAAATATATCAAAAGCCGACGGAGAGTGACTAATGGTTTAGTATAGATGATATGACGCACGAATGACGTACTTCAAATAATTTTTCTTTGATGTCGCTTTATTGTTTTGCTTACAGGCACTGGCAGACCTCCCCAGACAGTTGAAGGCAGGGGGGCTGCCTCTGGAGCAACATTATCCCCACGCACCGCTTGGCTTCAGTCATCCTCAGCCGACTTTCGCCCTCGCTCCACTGGGTCCTGAAATACCTACAACCAAGCCACAAAAGATAGCCAACAGAATTCGAGAAAGACAAGCAATTCCTTCCTTTGACGGCCAGTTTCAGAAGTCACCTCACATTACCTATCTGCCAGAAACAAGCCTTACATATAAACCACGAATACACCAAGACTTTAGTTTCATGAAGAGTGATTTGGGCATACACCAGCAGATAACGCCTCTATCGAAGTCCCATTTACGGTCCTCAGCACTGCCAATCACAACTTCACATAAAATCCTTGAAGGACCATACCTTATAGACGGGGAAGAGAACATTTCAGTACTCCCATTAACATCATCCATTACACTTTTGAAAGACAAGCAAAAACTTCATCCTAGCTTGGAGAGTTCGGTTAGGCCAATTCAAACGAGCCACCATTTGCTTACCGGCACGACTACATATACGCCTCCTGTTTATTCTCCCTCTGCAGTCAAAGCAGGAGATCCGTACAAAACGAGTGAGCAGTTCTCCAACGAACTTGATCCCCTTTATTCGTTGTTCTTAAATGACGGCGACGCACACTTCAAGTCAGTTCCTAACCGCGAATCGATTTCGCCACAGTTATTTGAGTCGGCTAAACTGAAGAACGATAAAAAAATAGCCGCACATTTGAACTTCGCGAGAACCAAGGCCGGTATAGACAATCATGGAGGTATTTTCGGTTCCAATTTACCTATTGGTTCTGCCATAAAACGTCATAAGCCACGAAGCTCAACCTTGTCTTCAGCTCCGTTGAATGAACCATCATTGACATTTTTGGAACCATTCGACCAATCATACGTCTTTAACAATAAGCCAGACGTAACCGAGTCGCTAAAATCGTTGGACTCGCGGCTTTCTTCTCGCCCTCGATTTTCATCACCGATGCCACCGATGCCAACAAATTTTCCTCTTGTTTCTTTAAGGCCGGCACAGAATGGTATTCTTGCACACCACAAGACAAACGGACAGTCAGCATCATCCAGACCGTACGACTCTTTTTCGTTTACAACACCCTACCCACGCGGGGAAGCTGTAACGACAGAACAATTTTATAATTCACTTCTAACGGCTCAGAAGCAAATAAATTCTCTTCTTGACAAGTACACATCGCATGGAACTTTCCAGCCTTCTTATAAACCAAAATTTTACCATTCAAAGGAGAAACTTTTATCGTTGAAACCTCATATAAAAGAAACACAATCAAAACTCCTCTTAAAAACGGACGTGTCCACCGAACTCTATGGGAAACATACTTCCATTCACCACGATACATCAGACTTTAAATCACAAGATAGTACAAAGTCGCTGCTAAAAGACGATCAAATTAAATCAAGTGAAATAAATTTTATGGGCACCCATAAGAACGATGAGCATACCAACGATAATTTCGTCCAAGACCTGCACAAGGTGCAAATAAAACACGTCATCCCTTCTGACCAGAAACACGTATCACAACAAAAGTCAAGAGTTACGTCCGATGATCATTACATACATAAAGAGCCACACGGATCCCAATATTCAGATGAATATGATTCCAAAATAAAATCGTATTCATATGAATTATATGACGATTATTCAAAAAAACATAGACTTCCTACGCATCATCCTCACAGAAAACAATATGACTCACCTAAAGAAATAAAGTTGTTAAAACCAGTTTACTCTGATGCAAACAAGAGAGAAGCGCAGCGTGGCGACTACGAAGCTCCGATTAAGAACCCGTCGGTTGGGAGACACTACAAAAACTCCAACAGGATTCCTGGGGTAGCAGGGAAGGACTACCCTCTCTACAACGAGGTCAGTGCATACCTGGCATATTATTTATTAAAGATAGATAGTCCCTGAGCGTGAAAATTCTCCAGAACAACCAAAACATAAACTGCAATATTTATGTTCAATAAGCGTCATAGCGAACGAAATCATAGCGGAAGACGAATCAATCGTGACCTCATTGTGAATTTTTACAGATCCCGCACACATCGTTCTCCTGCTCTAAGGTACCGCACCGGCCTGGCATGTACGCTAACATCGAAGCGCAGTGTCAGGTGCGTTTAAAATTTGTTATTTAGATATTGCAGTAAATTATTATGTACTACCTATTTCTGTTGTCACGAGTAAAGAAAATCTGTACGGGTATTTGTTATATCACAAGAGAACATGACAGAGCACAGAACGGCATAAAATAGTTTTGAACCAAGAATGTTTGTGCGAATTGAACTATTCTGCATATATATATTATAAATATTTCTACACTAGTTTCGACCAAAGGCAACTCATCGGAGAAACAGTGAGCAATTTTGTTACATAGTTCAATTTACAATCATCAAATGCATTTGTTTCTGAACATTTTAGCGTAAGGAAAGACTTATTCAATCCAGCTCACGTGCAGTTTCGCATTAATTTCCAATCAATTGGCATTTGATGTACCGCATCTCCCCTGCAGAAAACTAAACTCAAAAGTTGACTCATCTTTTCTTGGAATATATCGTTTTCGTTGTTCCATAGAATAACATTCCAATGAACATGAAAGTATTTAGGATGTCTTAAGAATATGTTAGGGGAACTAAAGCTCGCCTTAAAACAGCCCTAATGACGCTACTAATGTTATGCCAGGTGTACCATGTTTGCTATGACGACCGCTACGGCGACCAGGGCGCTGCGTTCCTCTGCACCAACGGCACGCTTTTCAACCAAGTTACGTTTAGCTGCGACTGGTGGTACAACGTCGACTGTCAAGACTCCATAGCTTTTTACGAGTAAGTCTGATGCACCTAATGGCTGTGTTAATCCGACAATTAATATTCTAAACATACTTTCAATCTGACATTGTTTCCAAACACAATTACATGTTCGATCGAAAGATGTCACAAAAAAGATGTCGCTCAAAAATTGAAGCACAAGTTTCATAAGAAACCTGGAAGCTCTAGAAGTACGATAGCTGACAACAGAAAAATTGAAATCATAATCTTGAAATAATACATTTTTTAGTGTACAAAAAGCTGAGAAATGCACTCAGATAAATTAATAATAAGAAACATTAAAAAAATCTCAAAGCAATAATTAATAAAAAATACCAACCTGACTTTTCTTCCCTATTTATTCAAATTGAGTCGAATGCTGAACTGTCGACTCGCAACAACCTAATATATTATATCCGATTGAATATATCCTAACTGCACAATCCGCTGCTCATTTGTGAAACTCATCGTGCATTGTTAGCGTTCCCGAAACTATATACGTTTTCTTGTTTCAGTCTGAATTTGAACCCGGAAGTAAACCCCTACTACAGAAAAGAGCATTACTACGTCAAAGAACCGACAGTGTATGGAAGGTCGGAGCCACAAGCAGACCATACGATAGCACCTCTTACTGGGCACAAGCTTGACAAAATATCTGAAGAACACAAGTCTAGTCGTCCTCGGTCGGATGGAAATGTCCACCAGTCTCATTTCAGAACACACTCATCGCCGTCCTTGGAGACAGCACTCAGTCCAAGCTCAGAAATATCAAGTCCATCAAGGTTTTTCCGGCGTAATGCAAAGAATCGGAATTTCTCAAATGATCACTCACAGAACAACCAGAGGAGCCTGGATACGAATGCAAAAATAGATGAAACATCACCTCAACTACCGGGAGAAGCATCCAAGAAATCCTTTGCCACTTCGTATGCGTCCTTCAAATCACGTTTTTAAACGAAAATATTTGAAATGAATGCATGTGAGTCGGTCAGCGTGATCACTCGAGTTCGATATTTTCACATGCGTGCTCAACCATTAGCAGTCGGATGTTATGCTAATTCAGTTCCTTATACCTAATGTGTATATACTTTTCTGACTTTCTCCTCAGTTCTTAATTTAACGTAACTTATTTTTTACAATAAAACTATTTTGTACACAGGATATCTTTGTCAGTGTCCAGATAACATTTCAATTTGAGTGATTGGATAATTGATGGTAATTGGATAAGATTGTCCCTCGCTTTCTGAACAAACCAAACGGCTTAGTGAACAATATTTTATCTACCAGTCGGGGGCAAGTAATAAAACTTCTTTAGAATAACAATTATGAATTGAGGAAAAACTTTTTTTTGCTGTCACTAGAGGTATCCTTGACAGATGAAAATTATTATGAATAATATATCGTACGTATCGTGTGATAGGCTCAAACGAGATTCAAAAGAATGAGTGTTAACGTTTCGGATAACAGAGGAGCTTAGATATATATACATTGTAATGTGAACAGGTAACTTTTCGCATCCGGGATTGGTGCATTCGTTGCTGCGAACAATTCAGAGCTGCAGGAGGACTTTGAAAGCAGTACTATCGCAATCAAAACATGATAAGCACTCTCTTTTCAAAGTGCGCTCAGAGGCGACATGAGAAGCTTTTGAAAATATCAAGCAAATGAGAAAAAAATTGAACAGTCAAATCACAGTTCGTGCTATTAGACGAGTGAGAGAAACATTCAACGTATACATTATAAATGAACTAAGAATTTTCCTGGTACAATAAGCGATTTTATACCTTATACTGAAACAGTGGTAATAAGTAAGTCAAAAGTTGAAATTTCATAGCAGGAAATAGATTGAGATATATTTCAGGAAGCATACAGAATGAAGTCAAACATTGTGAGCTAATGAAACCACGAAGACGATATGGAATCTACAATAATGAGATTGATGATGAGATTACATGTGAACAGCTCAAGAAGCTAAAGACCTCTTAACGGAGAAATGAGAAAACGCGCGCAATCAAGAACACACAAAAATCTGCAAATTTGAGTTGATCGCAATACATTTAAACTTTTCATGATTAAAAAGAAGCAAGGAAGCAGTTTGCTGCTCGAAGACAAAAATTTGTCAAGTAAACAAGGTGAGTGGCCAAAATAAAGAGTTAAAAGTTTTAGAAAACAAGCACTGCACACAGGTAGCACAGCTAAGGTTATATTGAATAAGCAGGGACGAAGGCTGAATGCAAGTCACTTGAGAGTAATTTACGCAGTGAAGAACGTTACGTAGGACATAAATATAACTAAATCTCTACTCCTCTTCACATAGTTTGTTTTATTTTCCTCGTTTGAACTTTCCGCCGCCCGTTTTCGCTTTCTTATTGGCAGGTCCATTCTTCTCAGGTGCCTAAGGGAAGGAAAACGATTGCAGATAGCAATTACTTGATGCTCAAACCATACTTAGTTATCAGTGAAAAAATTCAACACAATTTTCAATCCATAAAAATCAATATAATATGTAAAAAATTTAAAGTTTTTCTTCAACAATGGTCAATTACACCTGAATGTCCCTAGAAAAACTGGTGAAACTGAGGGATGTTACTTCCAACAATTTACCATCACAAATTGATTCAAAAATACCAAATACATTTACCCTACATTAGAGTAGGAGCATGTACAGTAACGGCCAAGTAGGAAACAACTTTATAAAGAGGGAAACGAACAAAAGAATTATAGTGAAATGATCAAGTCGAAAATTTTTTTTCGTACAGAGAGAGAGCGTCTAGAAAATGACATCGCTATATCAATGAGGAATGGGTCATTATGATGCTGCACTAAAGTTTTATTTAATAATACATTTACCTTATTTCAACACAAAAAAGATCCATCTTTTAACACTGAACATTTTTTTTCTAATTGAGTAGTTAGGAATGGCAAATTTTATTGAAAATTGGAATTTTAAGAAAACCATCGTGTAAAATTGGTAATTAGTGCTCTCATACAAATTGAATCCACAAGGATTATTTCGACAGGAACTCACCTTCCTCTTGTTGCCATTAGTTGCGGGAGAGGATAAGACTTTAAAGAAGCTATCTAGTCTGCCCTGGGTTGCGGTATTGCGAGCCTTGTATAGTTTCTTGCAGCCATTACGGATGCGATCCTCATTGAAGCCTTTCTCTGCGCACATGTACTGCACAAGTGCCTCTTCGTCGGGCTCATTCCATTTAAGCTGAGGAGAAAATAAATTTTGATGCACAGAATATAGGAAGCACGTCCACGTAGCATTCTTGGGTTACCTAGCTCTAGTTGTAAAAATAAAAGATAAATTGATTCACTTTGCAGTTAATGGCAGAATGCGGCAGAAAACTTAAATAATCCGGGGGCACAAAATAATTGCCTCCAAAAGAAATTATGCTTCTGCAAGATTTGATTTCGATTCCATACTCAATAACTTTACACAACCAAAGATTACTATCTACATATTCTTATCTCAAATATCACATTGTAACTCCCTACTTGTAAGCCAAATTTAACCATCAATGACAATTGTAGAAAAATTATATGGTAATCTTCACAATTCCGAATCAATACGAGATGACTAGAATGATAACATACCTCAACCTCTGCCGCGCTTGTAACTTCAGGCTCCTTGAACAACCTTCTAGCGTCATTGTATGGCCAGTCTGCGGGCGGCGAGTATTTTTTGGTGTCTAGAGACTCCAGCAGCTTGTCTATGGAGCGATTCTTCTGGATTAATTCAATAGCTCGCTTGGGACCAATGCCTCGAATGCTGTCGCAGTAATCACAACCCAATAGGATGCACAGATCTATGAACTGGAAAAAAATTACAGCATACAGACATTCATATAGAAATAAATATTTAATATAGAATATTTAATAGAATTGCTAAACATTGATCTCCAAGTTTTAATTGTAAAATTCGAATAAAATACACAAGGATGACCTAGTTTGAATGTTTATGAATTCATTATAGAACTGAAGAATCCAATCATAGTATAGCCATGTCATGTATGAACCTAGCGCACATAATAAGCTCGTTCTAAGTAAATATTGTAATTAAAAAAAAAATTTCACGTTTCATTAATGAAGAAGATCATAGGCAAAGATGGCAATCGCATTTCATGGCATTGCTTGAGACGCAAACCAAACATTGCTCTAGGCAAATACTATATTAAAAACGATGCCTGTATGAATTTAATTTGCTATCTTAACCTCATCCTGAGAAAGTCCAGCTTCATCAAGCACTTTGGCTAGGGTGATTTCTTTAATTGGCATCTTCCTGGCCTCACTGAAGGTGAGGTGTCGCAACAATACAGGCGTGCCAAACGTCAGGGCGTCCATATCCTCAGTCGCCACAGCAAAAACCTGCAAGTAATAACACCAGGCCGGCAGTTAGATTACCGTCAATGACACATAAGCCAGCTACTGCTATTACTTCGTCCTAGTGGCTGAAAACTGTAATAAAAAAACAGTATTTTGTATTTTAATAAAAGTCAAAACTATGATTTGCAGGATTTGTTAACCACACGATCAGTACCAAGCTGTTCTGATTGCTCAAGATATATGTGGTTCAGTTTTGTTTATAAATACATCGTTTCTATTGAAGACCAGCAAATTTATATATGTGGCGACGCTGTTTATGGTAGATATTTCATAACCATATATCAGATACATGGATCATTCCATATAATAAATATATATCCATATATTTTATATAAGGATCATTTAAGGTAGATATTTTCTTGTTGATAGTTTTTGAATGAAACATTAGACATGTTCTAGGAAAAATAAAACTTGATTCAAGGTGTAAACATTAAGAGAAAAGGTAATAAATGTGTACCTTGCCAGCTTTAGCAAGTTCAGCACACTGAGCCTCGGCTTCACAGGGCGCCGTGAGGAAAGGGATGCCCATCAACGCGAGCAGCCTCTGCACCTCCAGCCCGTGCTCCTTTGTCACCTTAACCAGTCTTCTGCTGTACTTCTCAATATCTTCTGTATTGCCTGCATTACAATGATGGATTAATACAACCTTCAACTTAATTTAGAACAGTGAATAAAAATGTAAAAACTTAAATGAATGACTAGGAACCACAAATATATGTAACACATACCTATATAATTAGACAAAACAAAATATATTCTATTTATACATCAAACACTGCATTTGAACTAGATGGCAATGTTCTGTAAAGAATAAAAAAGTTAATAAATTATTTTAAATAGAATGATAAGATGCTGATAATGCATAAATTTAAAAATTTATTTCAACATTAAAATATAAATATATAGCTATCAAAAGTGAAAGACATTCAAAGATTTTTAAAATTGAAAGTATTTGCACCACATGATTGCTTAAATTACAAATTGCTTGAACCAGCCTAATCATGATTGCTAAAATAAGCCAAACACAAGATCAATTACTACTATATGGCAAGGACTGCAGATACTTCAAGCAAAAATACTACTGAAATGAATATCCTAGTTTCAAAATGTTTATATATGCTACATTTTCTTACTGTTAAATTTGTCAATTCATAGATATTATGCCAAAACAGATGCTAAAACCATAAATATAAAATAATATTTGATCACAGCTTACCTGCTTCTTCAGCTTTTACAAGTTCTTTCTGAGCCTCATCCCTGCGCTCTGCACGCTTAGCCAGCTCCCCACCTTTCATTGTAGGTGGTTTACCATCAAAAACGTATACAGGTTTGATACCATTCTCAACCATGCGGATTGTCCGGTAAAAAAATCCCATGAGGTGACTAGAAAAACATGTTATGGTTAACAAATTAGAACAAGAAATAATGTTCTAGCAATTTCACATTTTCTGAGTCTTTAGAGTTATACTAATTTAGATATTCAAAGATTGATTAGTTTTTGAATGCCACTGAAAGCTAATGCCTTCTGGTAATTAATAAATATTTTCAAAATCTAGAATTAAAATTCAATTAATGTAACTTATATATACAGGTAAGGCAATATTATCAGCTAAAAAGAGACCTTGTGGTTTCCCCATCAGCTGAGGTGAGAACATTTCCTTCTTGTCTCACAGCAATGAGGAATTGGTATAGGCTCATGGATGCATCAATGGCCACTTTTCTGCCTGTAAAAAAAATGATACTAGAATTTTTAGCCAAGATGACTCCAACCAACAAAAATATGCTAAAATACATCAAAAAATACAGATGTATACATTCATAAATTTGAAAATTCAGCAAACAATTAGAGGTTGGATAATAGTTTAGCACATATAATAGGTTGGATAATATTTTTATTTTTCATGCAACAACTCACCAAAATAGTTCTTTATTTCATTTTCTTTGATGGCACTTGGAGCCACATCAGCTATCAGACGAGATAGACCTTGTATTCCCATGACTGAATATTTACCTCAAAAAGAAATAATTTGAATACAAAATTTCTGTAAGTTATGTTATAAAATAAACAATTAAAGGAATTGATGATGAAGCTTAATCAGCCTACCAATTATAAACACAGAGCAGGATCTTTTTTGTTCTTTGTTCAATCTATATATTCTATTAAAGAACATGTGCTACATATATGAAATAATGCTAATTGCTAGGTATATTTCCTGGTGACTGTGCAGTTTAAACAATCTTGACTTAGAAGTAGGTGTGTGCATTCATATTTCATCATCCAAAATTAGTAAAAAAGTGCTTATATAATGGCCAAAAAATTTAAAAAGTATCAAAAACATCAAAGGAATACAATAAAAATGAAAAAAACTTATAGAAGTCTAGAAACCTGGCAACCACTCCAGAACTTACCAAAACACAGCCCCACAATTGACTTATCAAGCTATATATTAAATACATTATTGCCTTATCCCTGGCTCAGTTTTTGTACCCTGAATTCCTGAAACTTGGAGAGCATTTATAAAAAGTCCTACTTAGGCAAGGGCCACAAAAGCAGATAAAATTGATCACATTCATGGACATTTTTGTCTCATTCACAGGTACAATTCTGCCAATTTTCCAGAATGGGTCCAAGAGAGGATAATTCCTACTTTTTCCTAGAAGCATGTGGCTCCAGTGATGTACTTTCAATAACTTAGGAATCTCCAGCTTGATAACACACTTTTGTTAACCATTAGATAGAAACTGATGCAACTAGCCTAGCAGGAATTTTGTTATTCTTTCAGCCCCAAAAAGCAACTTAGCAAGAAGGGCAGAAAAAGCTTTAGTCAAGGCTGTGGAAAGTGGCATCAATGCAACTAATGTCACTGCGCTGCCACAGCACTTGTAAAGTTGGTATGTGATACCAACACTCAAATTGCACAGGATAGCCTAAGCCTATATATAGGTACCTATTTTCAAATAGGCTATAGTCATAGTGACTGCTATACTAAACAATACTTCTGGCTCATGGTTATCAATTGGTTTGAGAGGAGCATGTAAGTAAAAAACGTAACTTCTTTATTTACATAGGATGGATCATTTTGAAACTTGGCAGTTTTGGCACAAATATATAAAATATAAATATAAGATTATTTTGTATAGGGTAAACGCGGTATATTCCGACACTTTAAGGACGCATCGAGAAATGAAAAACTATAAAAAAAATGCTAGATGGCCTTAACCTAGTGGTTTTGCAGTATTTCGACACGCAAATGTATGACGTCACCATTTCAACCATCAATGAACGCATGGAACTAAAACAAAGCTTAATATAAAGGAAAAACTAGAGAAGTGACGGAATTACCTACGATGTCGGAATATACCGCGTTTACCCTATTTTTTTTAATGAAAGAAATTTGAATTTCATAGAAAATGGCAAGAAAGGGAGGTACCTAATTCAATTTCAATTAATTAATGTGCTACAACATTGAGACTTTGAGAGACGTATCATTCAGACATTCACTTCATAAAGATCATAGGTAGCTACCAGGGCCAGCCTACCTACTATCTAGCAAGTAGCCTAGGTAGCATAGTAGGCCTAGCAATGGTTGGATACAAATTTTTTCAATTTTTATTCATTTTTTTCCTTCAATTTTGGCCCCTCCTCCTATTTCATAAACATATAATCCTACCAAAAAAGAAATCAGAAAAAGTGATGATAATGCAGACTCAAGACTGCAGAGCACAGCCAGTAGGCTATAAGCTGTATTCAAGTTGTACCTATTTATGCTTATTGGATTTTTGAGGTTTGTGCATGGAAAATGGAAATTTGTTTGTTGGTTCTGTCAGTTATTCTTACCAAGATATGCAGGGCATTGAGATTTGAGAGCAAAGACATTAGACATCATTATTCATTAGCATATAGGATATTTTTATAGTCATGTTTGTTCACTTTGTTATACCTAGGTAGGACTATTCTAATAATTATATGTGCTTAATTATACAGCATAGCTATTTTGAAGTATAAGAATGAGGAAGTGTTTATGTTGGAGTTTGCTTTTTCAAAGTTAACACAAACTTGCGTTCCAATCCTCTAACTAGCAGCTTTGCTTTTAGTAGTCAAATGAAGACACTTCTAATTCTCTAGGTAATTCTTAATGTCTGACAGAGTTGAACTGTCAACTTGTCAAGTGAAAAAGTTACGAATTTCTCCGTTGGTAGCTTTCGACTTTTATTTCAGTGTTGGGTGACTAGGGTCAGACCGGTCAGTGCGGCAGAATCAGATATGCTTATTGAAATAAGTTCGTTTTTATCGTCTCTGGAATTCTTACACATCAATACAGTACAATAATTGTGGAGTACCTACAGTAACCTACTCAATGCTAGTCCTCGTGAGTCGTGATCGTGGTGGTGGTTGCGGGTTGTAGGTGAAGAAGAAGTCGCACGTTGACCGCTTGTAACACCTGGACTCAGCAATAGTTATTTAGTTGAAGTCTTCATCATGTTTCTCTCAATTGGTCATTGCCAGCTGACTCAGCTCTGATGCGTTTGGTGAAGCACCAGGATCAATAAGATCTTGACCCTCAGATGTATTAGTCATTGAGGGATCGTTTAGCACTTTCACAAATCACAATGATAAGAAAAACAGAGAGGTTCACAGGAACGTCCTCTTTCGACAACGGTTCAAGCTTCTCTCCGAGTCGTGATCGTGAAATATGCTACTTACGTGCCGCCACAAACGTCAACAAACTTTTGGCGGTAGTTTCGCCTTTCTACCGCAGAAGCAGCCAAGATTCTGCACAGAGGGTGCAAAGAAACGAGCAATAAAAAGTAACGGAATGGTAATAGTAATAATGATAAAGAAAATGTGAAGAGAAACAAAGTATTATCTAGTGTTTTGGGAGCTAATAAGACTAGTATGACAAATGCCCAAAACTACCGTGCAATAAGAGGGACCTAGCGATAACCAACAAAATAACATATTTAAATTGAAAGTATTCTCCCTCCCCTTTACCATACCATGTTTCTTTTATTTCATCAGCCTATTACTTGCATTTAAAACTTACACAACACGAACCATCTATGCGCTCTAAATCTTGTCTCAATATCTTGAATCCTGTTCCTGCCTCCTCTTCCTGTTCTCCTCTGCCGAAAATTAATATTTAAATGAATGTGTAACGCGTGGCAGCTAGCCGATACAAAGGCCTGACGTCTGAAGGTCTTTTTCAGTGTCACCACGCTCCAAATCCAAACATGTTCCCCTCATCATCTTGTTACTCAGTCGGTGCCCGAGCACATAAAGCCCTAACTTCGTCCTCCCTCATATACCTCCGGAATTAATATGTTAGTCAATCCCTATTCAGAAGAAGTACCAAATTGCGCACCGGCTCATTGGTAATCATTTCATCATTTGAGTTTATATTTACCAGAGTTTAAAATGGCTAGAAAAACTACGTTGCAACTCTTCCACGCGACATTTCTTCTCGCTTCGAATCACCAGGTGGAACAGCCTCTCCGATTACATCGTTGACGCTCCGAGTCTAAAGTCGTTCAAAACAGACTTGATCAAGCTATGGAGAAATATATGTTTAGACTTGAAATGCCTAGAAAAATATCGAACCCGGTGGAAATCTAGGAGCTATTTCAAACTGTCGTCAGTTTGGATAAGATCCGGCCGAATAACCTGTTTTTAGATCTCTCGTGGGCAAGGCATGAAAAGTACAAATAAAATGTATAAAAAAAAATTTTTAAAGACCACGTTTTTCATGTGGACTCAAAAGTAGAAAATAATTTTTCGGCAGCTACTGATCTCTGTTTAGCGTATCATCGATATACGCAGTCTAAACACGAATATCCTCTCGAGGATGACGTGCATTAAAGGTTCCAACCCCTGCTTGTGAGTTCCTCTATAGTTTATACGCCTGGAAACGTGCAACAAATTATTGATTATTGTATCGTTATCGGGAGCTGAGCTTCCCTAAAAGTTTCAGAGCGCTAGCTAGTGGGATAGTTGGTGAAATATCGATTGCAAGATTTGATCATCACAGACACGAAAGCGAGCTAAGAAAAACGTGGTAAAATCGGCGACAGGCCACATCAGCTGCAGGCCTATTCTTCATCGTCGACATCACTATGATATGATATGAAAGGTTGAAAGCATAGTGCATAGCATAGATATGTCGGCGTTGAAGAATAGGCCTGGATGTGGCCTGCCGCCATGCACTGATTGGTTTATACGTTTTCTTCCTTCAATTGCGGACAAATAGAAGTTTTGATTTTTTTACCTAGAAATAAATACGCGTCGTTCCTCCTTGTTCTTTGATGTAGGTATTCAATATTAAAATAATGATGACTCTGTTAAACTTGTTTTCGATATAATTGAACTCGTATTTATATCTCACTTGAAAGTGAATGAGGACAATCCTGGCGAAGGTGTACAATAATGGCGCCGAGCTACTGATATACTACAGGTTGGGAGTGAGACTTTCTAGTATTATGAATGGAGCCGCTGACGGCAGGGAGGTGGCTGGTGTTAAGGCTGGCTATATTGCTGTGAATATTAAAAAAATATAACTCAGTACTCACTGCAGCGATTGACAGAGAGCGCATTTTCTCGTCGACGAAAACTTGAGGTCACGGACAGACGCACGGACAGACAGAAGGACATGGCGAGCACAATAGTGCATTTTTTCCATAAATGATAAAATGCGCTAACAAGTGTAACCGGAAACACCGCCGCGAAGTCGAAATAGTTACGGGTAGCGTGCCGACTTGACTGTGACTTGCGTATTGGTTTTAACACAAGGGCTAAAGAGTCGCTCTTTGGTCCGGCTCTAAATTCCCTTGCGTTGGAGAGAGGAGGAATAAACACGAGAAACTTTTCTTAATATATTGGTGATCTTCGGGCGATACACAATTCCTTTGTACAAGGCACACAATTTATTAGGTCCAAAAGCTCCTGGAAACAGGGTCTCAGCCTCAGGGATACAACGTCGAGGAATCCTAATAAACCACTGAGGACCACAAAAGCGGACAGCAATTACGGGTACGAGCCGCACCACAAAACTGACGACCTTACAGGAGGGGACAGCAAGATACGGGTACGAGCCGCACCACAAAACTGTTAACCTCGCAGAGTGGACAGCAAGGATATGGGTACGAGCCGTACCACAAAACTGACAACCTCGCAGGAACGGACAGCAAGGATACGGGTACAAGCCGCACCACAATGCCGACAACCAACGCAATGATCAGGGGTTCGAGCCCTAATGCACTGCCCAGAACACAGAATCGGGGTGGCAGTTACGCCTCTAAAGCATGACTATTGAAGGGTACGAGCCTCCAATAAGC